CTTAGATTTTTTTCTGGTAAACAAACCATGTGTCTTAGATTTTTTTCTGGTAAACAAACCACTTGTCTTAGATTTTTTTCTGGTAAACAAACCACGTGTCTTAGATTTTTTTCTGGTAAACAAACCATGTGTCTTAGATGCTTTTCAGGGCAACATTTCATAGATGAATTATTTTTTTTTATATTATTACAGTTTTCAAATGTACTCAGAAATTAATATTTTACTTTATTTTATAAAGCTACAATTATTGTAACCAATATTATTTTCATCTGTTATTTGAAAAGAAATTTCATTGCAATTTCTACATGCAGAAATATTTTTCAATCAAGCCAAATTTCTTTAATAGAGTAAAATAAAATTGTACTGAGGAAAGGCTTAAAGCATATTTCTGGTCTCATGGAAAAAAATTACTGCTTCTTAATAAATCATTAAATGCAATATTATTATATTGATAATAGGTTAACCACATGGACTGTGTATACTTCTAAATTTATTTTATTAGATGTAAATGATTTAAGACATTGCATATTTCAGCAATTGGGTACTTGTAGAGTTAATTTCTTGTAAAATCATGGATGTAAAAAGCATATGCCAGAAAATGACAGTGAAGTGTGTGGTAATTGAAATTCAAGATTAAAAGACTATTTTTGGTTTTAAATGAAATGTTTGGCTTAAAACTTATTTTTACAACATTCCACAGACTAAGTATGAAATTTGTCGTCAGTGGAAGCCAAGATACTACCCTGAAAGTCTGGAATATTCCTACCTCTAAGCATCTGACAAACCAATCAAATCATCCAGAAACCTTATCTGCACTTTTTACTGAACATGCCCATGACAAGGACATCAACTCTGTTGTTGTAGCTCCGAATGATAAACTAATTGCTACAGGCTCACAAGATAAAACAGCAAAAGTAAATCATTTTCAACTTTTTACCCACTTGTGGTTAAGAGAATTCTCAGATTGTCACAACATCCTTTAACATAGTGTTAAATTGAGTTTAAAAAACTTTATGAAGTAGTTAAAAAATGAGTTATTGTTAATTAATATTTAAATATCTTACATGTATGTTTATCCCATGGTATGAATTATACTGTATTTAATGCATTTCTCTCTGAATGGTTACTGTTCATTGAACTTTTAAAATCAGCAAATAAAGTACAAGAGAGATGTTGAAAGCTGAAATAAACTGAAAGATATTTATTACACACACACACATATATATATA